ATGTATGTATGTATAACCCATTACACAGTCTCTAAGAAAAATGCCCTCTTCCCTTTCTGTTGTGTAAGGCCTTCTCTTGGAAAGGGTATTGGCTGAGCATTCCAATGTCTTATAAGCAGAAAGGTCCATGAAAAGGGATAGTGGCAAGTAGCATATGTAAAGTAACTGCCAGGTGCCATGTTGTGTGATAGGGGTTATCATTCAGCCATCCCTAAGACCCTTAAAGTCATTGTTATGAATGACTGTTAATTATTATTTCTGTTTTTACAAATAAGGAACCAAGGTTCAGATGCTTTGTGGAACACCTAATTAGTGGCAGATTCAGAATTCAAATCCAAATGTCTTTGGAACCAAAGCCTATTCTTTTGTTGAGTTCAAGACCATGCTCTAAGTACTCCCCTCCAAAGCTTTAAAACCACACCACTTTATACAGCAAAATTTTGCCGATTCCCATGCTTACTGAATCAGATTTTAAATATGAGATCCTGCTCAAAAAAAAAAAAAATTGAAGTAGAATTGGCAACAATATACATTTGATCATTAATTTAACAAGCATCACTAAAGTGATGGGCATAGTTGCTCTCAGTTTTACTGAAGTGGGAAAACAAGAGGGCTGATGCAGGTAAAAAAAATGTTTTCAAAGTGTATCTCCCTGCTTGTATAGGACATAAAACAACATGACTGTGTCTTCATTGTCATTGTATTATCCATCCATGGAAGAGCAACTGGTGACTTAGTCTTTCTCTTTTGATGGCTAGTGGTGGTGGTGGCGGCCATGGCAGTGGTTTTTACATAGTGTAGTCCTACTACGTTACCCAAGTTAACCTCCAACTCAAAATCTTTCTGCTTCTGTTTCTTGACATTGGGATTAGAAATATTCACCATCACACCTGACCTTAGCCTCTTATTTCTTTGGTGTGTACATGTGTGTCATAGAATCAAATTACCTTACTAGCTTCAAAAGTTAGTTGTCTGTGTCTGAGGGCAGCCTTTCTCTCCTTGCATCTCTATGCTTCCTGTAAAGGAATTTCGTGATGTGGTTTCTTCTTGCTATCATAAAAATACTTTGGTAAAATTGACTTTCAAAATTATTTTGAAATAATGAAAGTTGTAGAAAGTGTTCAGAACTCTGAAATCTTTTATTGACTTGTGCTTTGTGGTGAACAATTTTGTCAATATTCCTCATTACCCTTAAATAATCTATCACAATATTAAATTCTAAATGTTAAAAGATATTTTTCATATTATGTGTAAGTTCTCTGAATGACATGAGGCCTTGAAAATGTGAGACAGTCTTTTAAAAGAAATGCTGTAATCATACATTGATTTTAAATGACCCTGTCACACGTGAAAACAAATCAGATTGTTGCTCTTAATGAGCTTTTCAATTTACTATTCAGTAGATCAGATAAGTGGATTTAAGAGGTAATGATCCTGTTTAGTACTCAAGCTTGACTGTCAGATCCTGGTAGTGGAGAGAAGTCCCCGAGGACAGATGCATTGACACAGCTCTATGTGGGATAATGCGGATCAAAGCTAATGGATGCTAAAAGGAATGGTGCAAGTTACAAGGAGGGTCGTGGGTAAAGCACTGCCTGTGCCAGTGTTGACTGTTTGCTCTTGCGTGTTACTGCTTCACATCTGATGCTTTGAGAAACTGTTTTGACAGCAGAGCATGACAGACCTGCCTGCCTAACAAACTCTCAAAACAGGAAAACTGGTAGGAGCCTTAGTTTTCACAGATACACTTTAGTTCCTTAATTTTTCACCATGACACAGTGAAGATCGAATTTAGATAGTTCTCAGTTTTGCCAAGAAATAGCTTCCTTCCTTCTTTCTTTCTTCCTTCCTTCCTTCCTTCCTTCCTTCCTTCCTTCCTTTCCTTTCTTTCTTTTCTTTTTCTTTCTCTTTCTCTTTCTTTTCTTTCTTTTTTCTTTTTCCTTTCTTTCTTTCTCTCTCTCTCTTTTCTTCCTTCCTCCCTCCCTTCCTCCTTCCCTCCCTCTCGCCCTCCCTTCCTTTCTTACTTCCTTTTTTTTCTTCTTGGTTTTTTGAGACACGGTTTTTCTGTGTAGCCTCTGTTGTCCTGTTCTCACTTTGTAGACCAGGCTAGCCTCAAACTCACAGTGATACAATTGCTTCTGCCTCCCTGAGTCCTGGGATTAAATATATGCACCATCATTCCTGGCTAAGAAGTAGCATTTATAAAGTCTTAGAATGTAAATTTTCCTTTTACAGAAGTACACAGTACTCATCATGTGGTCCAAAACAAGAAGTTATCTAGGAGTTAATAGAAAGAAGGAGTATGGGATGAAAATACTATAAGAATAGGCCACTTGAAATAATGCCATGTTCTTTCAAAACCCATGTGTCGGTGACCTATATCTCCAACAGTGTCCAGAGCATTTATGGCACATTTTCTTTTCTTTATTATTGTGACTATTATTGTGAACTCAAGAGAGAAAGCTAGTGCTTGGACCTAGTAGAGCTAGTTTTTTTTTTTTAATTTTTTATTAATTACACTTTATTCATTTTGTATCCCCACATAAGCCCCTCCCTCTTCCCCTCCCGATCCTACCCTCCCTCTCCTTTCTGCAGCATGCCACTCCCCAAGTCCACTGATAGGGGAGGTTCTCCTCTTCTTTCTGATCTTAGTCTATCAGTTCTCATCAAAAGTGGCTGCATTGTCCTCTACTGTGGCCTGATAAGGCTGCTCCCCCCTCAGGGGGAAGTGATCAACGAGCTAGTTTTAAGTAGCTTAATTCATGTTTTCATCCATGGTAAGCACAGTACCTTTCAAATTCCAGTCAGGATAAAGAGCACAGTTGGGCCCCTTGGAGAATAGTGAGCAGAAGAGAACAGAGAGCAAAGTGCCAGATCTCCACTGCTGTCTGCTTTCACCAATTAGTCTTACGTACAGGTTCTCACTAGATAGTCACAGATTAAAATAACAATCCAAGCTAGTCTCTATAAACTGTTTCTTTCTCTTTCATTTTCACCACACAGAATTTAATATATTCTAAAATGGTGTAGGGTACATTTCACTATTTGATTATTCACATTGCAATCCAGACTTAGTAGGTCCACCTGTTGCTTTTTCTATTACATATTACGTATACATGTAGTATTCACTTAACAGCTTGTGCTGAGACAAAGAATAAGGCATATTACCAGCCTGTGAGGATCTTCCAGCATAATGGGAGTGGTGGTGAGCTAAATATTATGATGTGAAAGGACCATGATAGAAGAACAGAACAGATAGATAGATAGATAGATAGATAGATAGATAGATAGATAGATAGATATGGGAAAATGCAGTTCACCCTGCTTGAGAGGGATGGATAGATAGGAAGGAAGGAAGGAAGGAAGGAAGGAAGGAAGGAAGGAAGGAAGGAAAATGCAATTCACCCTGCTTGAGAGGGCTAGTAAGGCCTTGGGGAAGAGATGGCTTTTAAATGGTGGGAGGGGAGGGAGGCAGATACTTACAAAATGAAGAGCCAGAGAAATCCTAGGGGTTATTCTGTTCTTCAGTGCTTAGACTTGAGAGAAATGGTTTAAAATGGGACATACTGGGAGCCAATGAAAGGTTTGCACACCAAAAGTCAGATTGATATCAGATTTTCCAAGAGGGCCAATTTTAATCTTCCTAGCTATGGGTCATGGTAAATTAAGGGGAAGTTTCCTTTCTACATACCATTCTTCCTTTGAGCCTTCTTTGTGCTTACAGTCTTCTGATTGTGGAGATTTATGGTAATAAGTTACTTATGTTCTCTTTCCCTCCTGCTAGTAGTATCTTAGGACCCAAAGTGATCACAACAGCCATTGGATGATCATTGGTATTCTGTTGTGTAGGACTCAAGAGTCAGCGGAAGAGACAATGGAAATGTACATATTACTTGTCTCTTTCTCTGTCCCAGCTTCTTCTTACCATTCTGCTCCTTTCCTACTCGCTCCTTCTACAGGCACCCCTTCCTTTTCTCTGGGTATCCCTGAGGAAGAGGCTTCCAGACACAGGACTCAGATTAAAAATCTGTAACGCAAGGTTCTGCCTTGTATAATATTTAAAATTTAAATACAATACTTCTTCTCTCCTCTCCTGTATGACCCTTTAACTCTGAGTGATTTATTATTATCTTACCATAACCGGTGGCAGTGCATCAAGTTAATGTGCAAATAAAGTTTAGTTGTCATACTTAGTAAATAAACTTAGAGAAGGTGAGATGACATACTCGCTGGGGATGAAATGACAGAAGAGACATGCAGCTGGTGTCTGGCAGGGCCAGCCTGGAATCCCACTAGAGCATAGGGGTGTAGAGGTATTAACTACTCTCAGCTTTGCCAGGCTTCCAGGGAATGTCTGTTGGCTGCTGGTGGTATTTCCCCACTTGAGCTGGGATTATGTGTTCAAATATGCATCATGCCTGAGGTTGAGACACAAATGTCACACCCAAACTCTGTAGCCAGCTCTGCCCACTTAGAAGCTCAGTGTATCCTCATGAGCTGATGTTCAGTCCCACTGTCCACAGTTAGACCTGTTTCTATCTCAGGTAGAGAGTATTACAGGGAGTGTCTATAACTGATTCACATGTTCTAGTTTTCTAAAAGCACTTACTTTCATAATCACCTTGAGTTGCCTTGAATTTTACTGATGCTTTGCTGAAATCTAGAATAGGTAGAAAATGTTTGTCTTAGATTCTTTTGCTGAGTCCGATTTTCCAGGTTTTTTCATGGAAAAGAAAAAGGTGGCTCCCAACTTTGAGGTGTAATGGGTGAATGAGTGCGGGGCTATGTATAAATATGCACACATTCCAAAGCAGGAGTGCTTCCTGTGGAGAAAGCTAGCACAGTCTGGGATGGTAGTGTTTTAATTTCATCAGTTCTGTGCTCACTCCCTGTTTCAATGTGGATGCAACAGATCTTTGAGTTTTAGACTTGTTAACTTGAATAGTCTTTTGAAACTGCCTGGAAATGTACAGCTTTTAACACTTAAATTCTTGATGCAGGTATATGCCCGTATGTCAGAAGTCTTAGGAATAACAGATGACAACCATGTTCTAGAAACATTCATGACGAAAATGTGAGTATCTTTTTTGGTTTTTAATTTTCTTCTGTTGTTTTGATTCACATATCATCTTACTCCATTTGAATCGCTATACATACTAATTTTTAACATAAAATCTTGGCTTTAATTTTTGGTGTGTGCATTGCTCTTCATTGAAGCTTACTTTTCCTACTTAAAACTCACCATCTAAAGTGGGTTATAATTTGTTAGGAAATCCTCATGGTTATAGTGTACAATATCAGAACATGGTCCTTAAAAGAGTTATAGATAATGACTATAATTTAGTTGGGCAGGAATTTTTTTTTTTTACCTTATAATTACAAACAAGACACCCTATCTCAAAGACCAATGAAGGACTAATTGTAAACTAAAGTCATGATTGCCTTAAACTAGAGCATCCATTGGCTCTAGCAAGGATGGGTTTATAGAGCTGAACAGTTTCTCCGTACAGACACACAGTTGCTTGTTGAGCTGACATCGGGTGCTTCCACAGACAACCTGTCTTGCTTTCAGGAGCAAGGCTGGGTCAAAATCAAAACCATAAGTCCATTTTGGAGCCACCAGATACTGGTTCATCTTCATTTGACTTCCTTCATGATGATTATTCCTGTTTTTATTTTGTTTGGCTAGACTCCAAACTTTATGTTTCTTGTGAAACAGTTAACATTATAGGCTAGCTCACTTAGAGAAATTTACAGAATTATTTTAAACTTATAGAATTCTATACCAATGTTCACTATCGATTGATTGTATAAAAGTTTAAAGGTGCTATAAGAATTAAAAGAGGTTCTGTTGAAATTTCAATATGCTTTTCGTTTTGTGATTAAAGTCACCTTACATAAAATATGTTTATGTTTCTGTGGTTCTCCTTATGCCGGTAGCTATCTAATAATTTAAAACATTTCTTTCATATTTAGTGTTACAAACCTTAAGTACTGGGGAAGATGTGAGCCTGTAATTTCAAGGACTCTTCAGTTCCTAAATGACCTTTCAGTTGGATATCCTTTTCCTTGTATAAGTGATGTGCTAACCCACCATGTACATTTCCATGGCCAAGTATTTTCCTTGCTTCTAATTTTCCAAAATTTTACAATAAAATGTCTGATCTGTTTAGCCTGATCTAGAAGTGTGTATTTATAATAACTGTATGCTGTGAAGCATTTTTAATCATAACTGATCTTAAATGAACATACACATATATCTATTAATTCCAGCCTAATTTTGTTTATATTAATCTAGGCTAATAAATGGCTACATAATAAAGTATGTAGCACACATGGATTTCAGTCCATAGTTCATAATTTTCAGAAATTCTTTTTCTGAAAAAAAGCGTATAGTTAAATTGAAGGTCACATGCTGTAACAGTCCTGCCTCAGTAAGTGTCTTGTGTTCATCAACCAGCGTGGCTTGTAAGCTTAGACACACAAAGGAGGGATGGGAAGAGAGATACAGGCTTTTAACCACCTCTTTGATTGTCAGCCTCCTTACCAGATTATCAACTCTACTCTAAATTAAGATTTCCTAATACACATTCAATGCTTACATTTTTATCCTTAGAAATCCTTTAAAATGTTAAACCAGAACTCATGCTTATTAGATTAGAATTATATTTCTACCAATGAGAATCAAATTGTAGATTGCTGCTTTTAGATACGTAGATGTTGTGATAAATAAATAAATAAATGAATGAATAAATAAATAAATAAATAAATGAATGAATGAATAAATAAATATTGGTTTATTTAAACTGTAAGATTAGCTGATATTTTAATATAAGGACAAATTCTGAAAACAGTTGGCTTTAGATGGAAACCTTTAATGTATTTTCATTCCAGGAATATGCTTGTATTAGTTAAGTTTAAGATTGTGTTCCTCAGTAAACCATAAAAGATTTCCAAAGTATTAGACACCCACTTTTGTGCTGGAATTTAATATGCAACTTTTTATTGGAAAATAATCGTCCTTGTCTGGCAAAATCCACCATGCAATATTTCTGTTAGTAGGTATAATGCAATAAAGACAGGGAGGGCTATTTATCACTACAAATTTTGAGGATTTCAGGATTCTTTTTATTATTTTAATATATTTCTTTGATATTAAATCAGAAAAATGATAAATTACACCTGTCCAGGCTTCTTTTCCTCTTTACTGGAAAGTGATGTACAACCCAATTCCAGTGGTCATTTTGGCTTTTTAAGATATGTATTTTTTCTTATTAAAAAAACTCAACCTGTATTTTTTTCTAATAATGGTGCTGAAACACTCTTTATTTCTAACATATGAAGTGGTTTATAAGTACTTCATAGTATTGCAAACTCTCCAGATTTTCACAGTGAATTACTGTGAAAACGTGTTATCTGGAAAGGCTTGTGATTGTAGAACACAGGCCTATTGTTTAGATTCACTCTGGTTTTAGTGTCATATTGATATTTAATATAAAATTAATGTGATTTGTATTTTAGTATAATTTGCATAATGCCTAATTTATTGGTATCTATTAAGATACTTTTTCTGTTATCTATTTTTAGATACAAATATTATAACCTTTTATTTTACAAGCTGTTTATTCCTTTTGAATATCTCTTAAAATTAATTTTAAAGTCGTATTTTCAGATTTATTAGATAAAGGTTAAAGGTTGTAAGAGATATGAATTATTTTCATGCAGGTACATTGATTTATATTTTTTAACAATTATTTCAAGTTTGCATATTTAGAAATATATATTAGCTCAATTTTATTTCTGTGCTCAGTTATTTGAATTATAAATCATTATGTCCCTTCTAGCTGATCAGTCATGAAGTATCTTTGAACTCATTTACATAATGGAATATGTGCTTGGTGTATCCATTTCAATGCAGACGCTACTTACCTAATGTGTGTTTTGTTGTTCTATCCAATTTCATTATTACGACTTTTTTAATTAACATCTTAAAATACATTATTTTTTGATAAAAATACAATATCATTCTTCAGCTGTAGAAAGTATGCAAGGTAGTAATGATCACCTATTGGTCTGCATTAATGAAAGCCTTATTTTGATACTCAAAATATTTTTTAAATATTATTAGCAAATTAATGAAAACCATGTTGTCTTATGAAATTTTTTTTCGTTTTGTAAATTTATAATGCATGTCATTGGCACTTTTAGGTATATTGTTTTGTGTTGTTTTTGTTTTTGTCTCTATTTTGTGTGCTTTAAGTGGGTGTCATTCAGTGTTTATGCTACTCAAAGCCAGCCAGTGAGCTTTGTTTATTTTTCTTTAATCTGACCCCTTGTTTGGAAATTAAAATTACTGAAGATTGTTCTTAGGAATTACAGAAAAGCCTGAAGTCCCCTTCATGCAGCGGCCAGACTTATTTGAGTATCAGAACTGGATGTCTGTGCTCTCATTGTTAGGCCCCATACCAGCACCTCTTTCTGCAAGGCTCTGACCCAGGACCTGAGAATCTGCCTCCCTGCTAGCATCTCCAGGCTTCAGACTGGGCACATATATGAGAGCTAAGCATTTCTCCCATTGCATATCTTCATTCAGCTTTGCTACCATTAAATAGGGCAGCTGTGACAGATTAGAGGTCATCTGGCTGCTAAGCAAGGTTGGGAAAACTGGGTGTTCATGACTAGATGGCCTCTTCCTTTTCCCCTCCACGTACTGTTAGCTTCATCTGCACCCTTCCAAATCCGTGAGGCTTTCTAAAGTTTAAGCTCAGAGAACCTTTTGAGAGAACTTTTATATTTTCTCATCAGATTCATTGCCATGGATGGATATTACATCTATCAAGTATCTTAATTTCCACAAGTTAAATTCAGGAATTCTTTTTAAGTAGGTTGAGTTAATCTGCACAGAGCTAAGCTGCTCCATCTGGGCCCAGCCTTCCACAGTTGGCATCAGTGCCTGGGATCTTTCGTCTCTGAAATGTTTACACTTCTGGAATTCTAGTTTCTATTTGGATTAGAATGGGTGAGATTGTTAAGTGATTGGAGTAGGAGAGCCGCTGAGAAAATCAGAGAGAGTAGAGATCAACAAAGCACTCAAACTAACCTGCTGAAAAGGGAAGTGCTGAGTCTCTCCAAAGCCCTGTTGTTTGCTAAACATTACTTGAAGCTTTACTTCTTTTGGAGAGTGGTTGGTCAGTATTTGTGCTGGAGCTCATTTACTCCAATTGATAGCAATAACACCTCACATGTGCTTCACATGTATAATAATGAGTAATTAAGAGCACTTGCTGCTTGTTGCTCTTCATGAGGACCAGAGTTTGTTTGCTCACAACCATGTTGGGTGATTATGGTGAAGGTAACTCGAAGCACCAATAAAATCCAGCACCTTCTTCTGGCTTCCCAGTGCATACATATATACAGGGTGTACAAATACACACACACTCACTCATACAAATAAAAATAAAATCTTTTTAAAATAAAAATAGATTCCATAAAAAGATTTCTATGTTAACTTTTCACTTTATTCTCAACAGGTCATTGAACCAATGATTTCTTTATTATCACAAAAACACCTAGAAATTGTGAGTACTGAGCTCAAAATAAAAACTGGGAGGTCCATTCTTTAAAATCATTGGCAATGGTAAGACTTGCAACAATACAGCTTGAAGCCAAGATAAGGCATTCCTAAGGCTGGACTGGAACCCTGTGTAAATGTGCAGTTCGTAAACCTGGGGTCTGCTCTGTCATCTGTGATATGAAGAAATCATTATTTTTCTTTGGCTTCAGACTAACTCACTGAAGATGATTATATCTTTAACATAATGACTTTTAAATTTCATTCTACATTCATCTTAATTTACTATAGCTTTTTGTTCTCTTTCAATTCAGCTAGGCATTTGCCAAGTGCGAGATGAAAGAACAGACCAGGCCCTGCCCTCAGACAGGTGTATCTTTCAGTAAATATTATTCAGAATCACTTTTTTTGGGCTAGAGTGATGGCTGATAGCACTTGCTATGGGTTAATAGCACTTGCTGATCTCACAGAGGACACAGGGGCAGTCTCCAGCATACATGGGCACCTCCCAGCTGTCTCCAGTTGATGTTACACTGCACACACATGGCACCCTTACAGCATGCAGGCAAAACACTCAACACAGAAAATGACTAGACGCACTTTGTTTTCTAATAGTACATAAAAATAATGATTTTGTTTTGTTTTTTCAATTGATGGTCTTTTGGATTTGATAAAATGTGATACATGCTTGTACTGGATAGTTTTATGTCAACTTGACACAAGCTAAAGTCATCTGAGAAAAGCGAATCTCAGTTAAGAAAAAAAACCTGTATAACATGGGACTGTAGGCAAGCCTATGGGGCATTGTCTTAATTAGTGGTTGATGGGGGGGAGCTCAGCCCATTATGGATGATTCCAGGGTTCTGTCCCAGGGCTGGTGGACCTGGGTTCTTTAAGAAAGCAGGCAGAGCAAGCCAAGAGGAACAAGCCAGTAAGCAGCACCCCTCAATTGCCTCTGTATTAGCTCCTGCCTTGAGGTCTCTGCCCTGTTTGATTTCCTTTCCTGACTTCTTTAATGATGAACAATGATGTGGAAATGTCAGCCAAATAAACCCCTTCCCAGCTTGCTTTCTTCTTTTTTTATTTAACAAAAAAAGAAAGAGAAAGAAAGAAAGAAAGAAAGAAAGAAAGAAAGAAAGAAAGAAAGAAAGAAAGAAAGAAAGACCAAAAAGTGAGTTTAATTAACCAACAAGAGAGAAAGCTGGTTCAGGAAATGCAGGTGAATTTTGTTGAGCAAGAATTAGAAGTGGGGCATTCCATAATTGTCTAGCATCCGCTTGGTTTTGTATCTATGGTTAAAAATGTACATGATAGAAACTCCAGGGACCTTCTGGATTCTTCGTTTGAGGCCATGGTCAACTGTAGCCACACTGGAACACTTGTGCTGAGTTACTCTCTATACCAAGCAGTTACCGACATATGTCCTTTGTGTGTGCATGGCAATTGGTCAAATCTTGGATCCTTGGTAATCCTTAGTGCCACTAGATACTTCTGTCCCAATTTCAGCCATTACACAATCAGTTATACAAGGAATATACTTGGCATAAGACAGTCCATCATTGACTGCACTAAGTCTAATTTGGCTTTAATGGAAAAGTTGATGAAGTTGGTATCAATGAGGACGTGGTAAGGCAGACCCAGTTGTGTATTATACTGGAAGAATAAGCAGGAAGGATGTTGGGGGACTTCTCCTTCCTTTAGTGCACTGGGATCTTTCTTCTCTTTTATTTTAGGCTTTAATCTATCCTTTTCTTTAAGTCTCTCAGACTAAGCATTCACTTCATAGTCGCATATTTCCTTGTTTTCTTTTGCTTCACCATGGTCACACCACATTCCTGTTTCTTCCCCAAGTTTCTTTTTAATCATGGTGTTTCATTGCAGCAAGAGAAACCCTAACTAAAACAAGTTAGTACCAGGAATGGGGTATTGACATGACAGACCTGACCATGTTGTTTTGGGGAGGAATGTGGAAGGACTTGGAACTTTGTTAAAAAAAAAAAAAAAAAGCCATAGATTGTTGTTGGTACGCTTGGTGCTTGGTGAGCTGTTCTGTAGGAACTTGAAAGATAAAAAAGGCCAACATAGCCAACAGGATGCAGGGGTCCTTCGGAGACTGATGCACCAATCAGGGACCATATATGGAGAGGGCATAAGTCCCCTGCTCAGATGTAGCCTATAGGCAACTCAGTATCCATGTGGGTTCTCTCAGAGGAGCAGGGGCTGTTCTGACATGGATTCTGTTGCTTGCTCCCTGATCACCTCCTGGCAGGGTGGTGTTGCCAGACCACAGAGAAAGAGGATGCAGCCAGTCCTGATAAGACTTGATAAGCTGGGGTCAGTTGGAAGGGGGGAAAGGGGAGAAAGAGTGGGGCCAGGATGTGAGAAGGGAGGGAGCTACGATCTGGATATAAGGTGAATAAATTAAAATTTCAAATTTAAATTTAAAAAAGGCGCACGCACACACACACACACACACACACACACACACACACACACACACACCTGTCTTGTGTAGGGCCAGGTTCTAATTACAGCTGTATTTCACGTTGGGCAGAAGAACAAGTACTATGCTTTAAAGTTAAGTAGGTGTGTGTCACATAGTGGAAGGAGGTCATCAGACCTGGACTTGAACCTTGGCATTACCATGTATTAGCATATTCCCACTGTAGCCTGTGCCAACCCCTGCTACTGTGTGCAGTTTCTAGTACTGTTGCTGTGACTGCTGCCATGCTGTGTTCACTGCTGCGAGCTGCAGGCCTCCACACTTGTCTGCTAGAGAAGAATAAAAATAAAAGACCATAAAGATATGTCCATTTGCCTTCTCCTTTTAACATCACAAATCTTAAGACTATTAACTAGCTTAGAGCTGCCCTCCTGTAAAGGGATGTAAATATTCAGATGAATTCTCATTACTGTATTTTTTTTTCAAAATTTTAATCATTTTTCTTGGGAAGTAATTAAAAGGCAGTTGGAGCTGACCTTGGTATAAAGTGCACAAATGCAGTTCTGAGAAAGTGTCTTTGACAGATGATGTTTTTCCTGTAGATGTTCTGTTTATTGTTTCCATAAATATTCCATTGTCAAAACATGACTTACTGTTTGTTAGCACTGCTGACAGGAAAGTTCCTCTTAATGGCAGCATTCATATTACCCCTATGCCCTGTCACTTTTAACTTAGCAATTTTAAGAGAATTGCCTTTGGTAATTACTTAAGATATTTCTACATTTATTGATTCCCCACCCTTGTTTAACTGAGTGAAGTTTGAGTGGCAGTTCATCTGCTCAGAGATTGATGATTTTGAGAAGTCATCAAATCCACATCTTCAAATCTAAGAAAAAGCTTGCTGCTTATCAGCGTTGATCTTGTCCTTTGGTTGCCAGAAAATGCGGTGCACTGAGGAGAGTGTGTGGCTGCCAGTGCTGTCCTGGGGGGATTTACAGCCAGTGTGAAGGTAGATACACATACCTAAGATGCCACTCTAGTCGTCACCTGAAGTTGGACAAACTTAAATCTAAGTCACATTAACAGCTTGTCATTGGGAAAAGTATAATTCATTTGTTCATTGAACAACTAGAAGTGATACTGATTTGCCTGGTAGAGGTGTGAGAATTAGCCAGTGCCCATTCTGTAAGTGTTTTTCATCCTCATGCCTTTTCCCTGGTTTATAGTCAGTAATGATGCCTGCTTCATCTGATCCTCAGAACAGCCCTATAGTCACTTGGCCATAGACCCCCGTCTTGCTTGCTGGAGAGGAACTAAGTAAGGTTCAGTCAGACTGAGTATCCATTTAGGCTTGTCCTGATGATTAAGAAGTGTAGTCAAGCCGGGACCCTGCATTTCCTGACTTATGTCCCAGTATGCTTTCCACTCTGTGTCTGTAATGATAATTGGGCTTTTTTATGTTATTATACATAGAAAGTTTATAAGGCCCAATGTTTGGACATAATATGAAAAAATCTGATGTTTCCTTTATGACACGACAGGAGCTAAGTGAGATTGCTGTAGCCTTCAAGACAGGAGGAAGTACATAGAATAACCAAGGTGTGCTATAGCTGAAAACATGAATATGGTGAAGAGAAGACTGCATCCTGGGCACACATTCCTAAAATTCAAAGTAGACTAGACGTCATCTGGGCTTTATTCATGTTTATGCTCTCTGAGTTTTATTCTCACTTATAGTTTGTCTGTTGAGATGATTAATGAAAAAACATGATCCTTTGAATCAAGCCTTAGTTCAGATTTCAGCAATGTCAACCATGCAATCTTAGATGGACAACTTACTTTCTTTTAGCTTCTGTTTTCGTATCTACAGAGTAGAATTAATAACATGGTAATTGTGAAGACTGGATAAAATAACATGAAAAATTTCTTCTATTTAAACACTTGAGAAATATTAGTTACATTAAGCTGTCTTTCAACATTTAATGACATAGAATTTGCTTTATATTTCTAACTAGAATTTGGTTTTAAACTTCTGAGTTCATTGTTTCTTAAAATTGAATAATTTTCTTTCTTGATAGTCTATTATGAGCCTTTATAATAATTTCATTATGAAATAGCATTAGTAAAAAGAAATTCTCCAGCTATACCCAAATGTAAAAAGGGTCAGTTTCAATTTTCTGCTATCAAGGCTTTAATAGTGAGGGGTTCTTGTCTTAATTATATGATTCATTCTTTCTTTCCATAACTAAAATATGTATAAGATGGAAAAAGTAATTGCCCTTGTTAATAATGGATTATCATTCTTAGCAAAATGAAAGGCGTTTCTATAGGAGTACTCCTAGAAATACTCATTCTCTTTACATAATAAAATGCCATTGTGGTTATGTTTTGTGATTTACTATATTTCTACAGATTCCTTAACATTGTTACCTATATCCTTTTAAAAAAACTCGTGAAAATAGATGCTGTGAAATTCATGCTAAAAAACCATACGGTACGTCTTAATTCTTTAATGAGTAGAATTTTCTGGTTAGGTCGAACATTGGTAACTTTCCATGGTTTTTTTTGCTTTCATTAGAGTGAACACTTCCCATTTCTTGGCGTCAGTGATACTTACAGTCTGAGTGACTTCAGGTGCCGAACAACCTTCTACACAGCCCTCACTCGCCTTCTGATGGTAGATCTAGGTAAGTTAATTAAACTCTTCCTGATAGGAGATCAACAATGTGAGTGAAGGAGTGGAGCATCAATAAGCATAATATTTCGCTTGTTAGAAGTTGCTGTCTTTGATGGTTTTTGTACCTTTCTAAGCTTTGAGTTTGCCTGTGAGCATTGCAGCCAAAGATAATTCTTTGTACTATTTCCCATGATTCTTTACCTCTGAATTTTTTTTTCCCTTTGACCCACTAATTTTACTTTTGCTAATTTAGAAACTGGGCCTGGAAGCTCAGGTGAAACAGGAAGATAACAAGATCAAGGCCTGCCTGGACTACAGAGTGAGTTCAAGGTCAACAGTCTAGCAGACCCCTGTCTCAAAATTATTTTTTTTAAGGCCAAGGATATAACTCAGTGGTAGAACACTTGTCTAACATATTCAAGGCTCTAGTTTCAGTGTCCAGTGCTGCAAAGTCAAGGAAAGGAAGTCTAGGAGCAGTCTTACAGACATATGTGCATAAATGCTTGCCCTTGTTTTCATGTATTTATTGTATTTTGATTTCTTGTTTTGGCTTTTTTGAAACGGGACTTCTCTGTGTGGCCTTGACTGTCATTATAAACCAGGCTGGCCTCAAACTCACAGAGCTCTTCCCGTCTCTGCCTCCCTGAGTGCTGGGATTAAAGGTGTACACGACCACGCCTAGCTACATTTTGTTTCATTTTTCACATTTTAAATTGTATTTATTGTGAGTTTGTGTGTGTGTATGAGTTGGTCTATTCTTCTACCATGTGGGTTCCAGGGATCAAACTCATGTGATCAGGCTTGGCTGACCACTTTATTCCACTGAGCCATCTTGCCAGCCCAACAGGAATGATCTTTGTTTCATTGCTCTGAGATGCAGTCTGACGTAGTAGTTCAAGTGAGCCTCAGGCTGAGGTAGAGGGTGAGCTTGAAGCTCTGATTCTCCAGCCTCCAGTTTCTAAATCTGCAGGAGCATCAGATGTTCTTTGGGTTTGGTTTGAGAAGGTCTCAAGCAGCCCAAGGTGGTTTTGAACAACTTTGTAATTTAAAATGATCTTAGATGAGGCTCCTCTTCCCTCTAAATCCCATCAGGTAAGAATATAGGTGCATGTAACAGCATAGCTGTATGCAGTACTAGGAATCAAATCCAGGGCTGTATACACGCTGAGGAAATGCTCTAATGGTACCACATTGCTAGACTTGCATTGCCGATATTGTTCATGTGTAGTAACAGATAGCTCAAGAACAAAATGGAAATTGTGTGAATGTCCAGTAATAGGATTGAAATTATAGTACATCTGCTTATTCATAGAATGGTTTGTAGTCACAAATGATGGTTAAAGACAATGCGGTGCTACAGCTGGGGTTCAAAATTAATAAACTGTAACTAATATTTATAAAATAAATTAAAGACAATGCAATACATGAAGTTTAGTGATCCTGAGTGAAAAGGTAAGATATTGCTGAACTAATAGGACAGTTGTGTATACTGGAGAAAAAAAAAAAACATCAAAATGGACTAAATAACAGTGGTTGGCATGTTAAATAACTCCTGTAACCATTGTGGAAAACCATATGGAAATGCCTTAAATAATTAAAAGTAAAACCACAGCAGGCTTTGGAAATTCTCATATGGGATGTACACTCAGAGAGAGTGAAGTCAGCATGCAGAACAGACACCTGCACTAGCATGTTCATGACAGCAGCAGCCACAGTAGCCAAGGAAGACATAGAAACAAGCTACATATCCACTGGTGCATGAGGGAGCAAAGAAAATGTCACACACAAGTGTGTACGTGCAAGCTCACACACTTGCATGCATACACGCATACATACACAAGAATCCTCTTTAGCCATACATATAAGAAAATGAATCCATTTGCAGCTGTATGGATAAACCTGAGTTGTATTGTGTTAAGTGAAATAAGTCAGGCACAGATAGACAGCTACTATAAGATCTCACTCATATGTAGACTCTAAAGAAGATGATTTCATAAAATTGGAGAGTGATAGTTACCAAGGACTATCAAAGTTGGAGGCAGTGTTAAATGATGTCCTGGCTTTGATGTGCCCTTTCAGCCAGTGATGGGAATAAATAAAGTTCAAGAGATATGGTATGTAATTGTATGTATGTGATACTGGGGATTGAGCCTAAGGTGTCATGCATGCTAGGTACAGAACTGTATTCCCAGGCTTATTCTTGTAAAGTACTTCTTAAAAGGATATGTAAAGTACTTTCACCACAAAAATGATAAGTGCATAAGATAATTGAAATGCTATATTTAATTATGTGTTAGTGTGTTTTACAATGTTAAAAAATAACTATTTCTGATTTTTAAGAATTTTAGTTTACTTATAACTGGGAATCTTATTAAAGAAGGGGGAGATAGAAAGACCTGGAGAAAACAGAAGCTCCACAAGGAGAGCAACAGAACCAAAACTCTGGGCACAGGGTCTTTCCTAAGACTGATATTGTAAACAAGGATCATGAATGGAGATAACCTAGAACCTCTGCATAAATGTAGACCATGGCAGCTCAGTCTCCAAATGGGTTCCCAGTAATGGGAACAGAAACTGTCTCTGACATGAACTCAGTGGCTGGCTCTTTGATTACCTCCCCATGATGGGGGGAGCAGCCTTACCAGGCAACAAGGAAGACAATGCAGCCAGTCCTGATGAGACTTGATAGGCTAAGGTCAGAGGGAAGGGGAAGAGGATCTCCCCTATCAGTGGACTTGGGGAGGGGCATGGGAACAGAAGAGGGAGGAAAGGTGGGGTTGGGAGGGGATGAGGGAGGAGGCTACTGCTGGGATACAAAGTGAATAAACTGTAATTAATAAAAATAAATAAATTTTTAAAAAGTTAAAAATGCATATATTACCAGGGTAACATGCAATGTTTTGATATTTATAGTTACTTTTTAGTTTTTATTTATTTACTTATTTATTTCTTATAGTTTATTTACTTTGTGTTCCTGGCTTTGTGTTCCTCCATCTCCTCCCACTCTTCCTTCCTCTTCTCCCCCTATGTCCCTTCCCTAGTCCACTGATAGGGAAGGACCTCCTCCCCTTCTGTCTGACCCTAGCCTATCAAGTCTTATTAGGGCTGGCTGCATCATCTTCCTCTGTGACATGGCAAGGCTGCACCCCTCCCCCCAAGGGGAAGATGATCAAAGAGCCAGCCACTGAGTTCTTGTCAGAGACAGCCCCTTCTCCTCCCCTCCTAGGGAACCCACTTAGAAACTGGACAGATGATCTAGGTCCTCTCCATGCATGGTCCTTGGTTGGTGTATAGGTCTCTGCAGAACACTATGGGCCCAGGGTTTTTTTGTTTGTTTGGTTGGTTGGGTTGGTTTGGTTTGGGTTTTTTTGGTGGTGGTTTTTTTGTGTTTTTTGTTTTGTGTTTTTGTTTTTTGGCTCTGTTGGTCTCCTTGTGGAGTTCCTGTCCCCTCCAGGTCTTTCTATCTCCCTTTTCTTCCATAAGGTTTCCTGCCCTAAGTTTGGCTATGAGTCTCAGTATCTCTTTCAATACCCTGCCAGGTAGAGTCTATAGGATGCACATACTAAAATCTAAAGAAGACAAACAACATAGAGGCCATAGGGAATACACTGAAACCTCACTCACTCAGAAGGGCAAGCAGGGATAGACCTTGGAAGTAGGGGAAGACAAGGAACAGGACAGGAACCTTCCACAGGTGGCCTATGAAAGATATTTATAGTTATTGTATAGTGATTATTCATGTTAAACAAACCTCCTTTTCTTAGTTTGTATTGTTTTGTTTTATTTTGGTTTTGGTAGTATTAAGGTCAAATCCAAGGTCATATGCATAGTACGTTGGCAGTTTACAGCTGAGGTATAGTCCAAGCTCAGGAATAAATATCCTCTTGGACATTTATAATTTCTGCATTGTTTAAAAACTCAGTTTCTTGTAGCTTTTTTAAATATACAGTACACCATTATTGCCTCTAATAATCCATTATACATTAGCACATCAGGACTTCTTAACTTCTAACTGGAACTAAATGCCTACCAATAGGCCTTCATCCATCCCTTCCTCTTCCACAGGGCTCAACCTCTGGTAACTACTCTTCTTCAGGTACAAGGGAGTAGTCTTTGTATCCTGATGTACTTCACTTGACATAAGGTTCTATCTGTATTGTCTTTTTTTTTTTTTTTTCACTGAAATCAAGCAACATGTAAAGACACTTTTATTTGCCCAGAATGCTTATTTTTAAAGTTAGCTGAGGTGAAAAGAGATTTGTATTACAATTAATTTGTTACATACAAAAACAACTTATGAGGGACAATATGTACAACACGCCATCACTGACAGCTTTCTCATTTTCTTAGACCACAGTCTCCCAAGGAGAAAGTGACGATATGCAGAATAACAATGTTGTTTTTGTTTTTGTCATTTATGTTTTAACTTAGAAAATTCTTATGAATTTTATAAATTATTCAAAATGTGAATAGCAAGACATATATTAATGAGTATATAATTTGCAATATTTGAAGATAATATTTTAAAGCATATAATAGTGGCATATGTAATTCCATGTTTACATGTTTCAAAAGGAACGAGTTTAAGTGGTAAAGTTTTAGGGAAAATTCTGTTATCAGACAGGAACAGACAGACATTTAAAATTTGTGTGACTGATTTGAATAATTTCTAACACTGTACTGTCTTGAAGGAGAAAGCTTCATTCTTGTTGTACCCAAACATAATGTGCTGTGTGTAAGCGCCATCAGTGTGTCCCTCACTGCTCACTGGCGAGATTAGAGGCTGCTTCTGCTTCTTGCCTGCTCTGAATAGTTCCACAGAGAACATGGCAGTGAAAGTGTCTTCCTTTCCTTTGAGTGGGTACCTGATGCTAGGATTAGCAGATTATGTGATAGTTCTTTTTTAACTTTCTGGGGGTCTTCATATTGGTTGTTTTTTATAATGGCTGTTCTAACTTTCTGTTCTACTAATAGTGGACCAGGGTTTCCATTTGCCCACATTGTCTTCAA